TGCAGTTTTGCACTTAATCTTGTTACCATGGGAATTAAGCAGTGCCCACATTCTCTGCCAGCTTCAGCTGGCGTTCCGTGTTCATTGACGTTATTAGAGGTTACACAGTATTTGGACTTGGTACATAATGAAAACATACGTACGGGTTGCAATGCTATTCACCCAAAACTAAAGCAACAATGAATTAGCCGAGTTCCTCGAAAATGAGCTACATATGAAGACGCGTTGGCTTGTGTACAGAGTATATCTAATAAATGATAGGACTTGCTGTATCAGAATTGGACAGTTGTATTGCATATGTAGATGCAAGGGAAAGTAGAGTGCATAAACAGTGAGTGCTTCTTTTTGATTCATTGCCATATTTAACTTGATTTCTAATAGGACTTTCACATTTTTACTTTCTCCTCAATATTTCTGTTAAAGAAGAAAAAAAATTCTTGACACTTGCAGTGGTGCTACCCCCGAACTGCAAGGGTTAAGTGTAGGGATGCACTGATAAAAAAAAAAATTCCAGACCGAGTACGAGTAGCGATACTTTTCCTCAAGTACTCGCCGATGCCAATTACTGATACCTCCTACTTTGGTATGTCATGTGACAGTTTTTCTACAACAGTGCAGACTAATGATTTTAGAACGGTGGTGGAGCGCCAGGGCCCGGTTGCAGCTGTAACCCTGGTAGTTCTGCCACTAACTTCAAGCTGTATACGGACTACAAATCTCGGCAATACATTATATAGCAATGCAGAATTCCACCAGCTATAGAAGACTACAAAACCCAGCAATAGCTTATACAGTAATGCACGATACCACCAACTATAGAGAACTGCAAATCCCAGCAATACATTATATAGCAATGCAGGATACCACCAACTATAGAGGACTACAAAACCGAGCAATTCATTATATTGCAATGCAGAATAACATGGGCTCTGACCTGTGCGGGTCTCCCCAGTTCTGTGCCGGGTGTCACCATGGCTGTGTGGGTGGTGGGAAGGAAGACTAGGAGATGTTCAGTCAGACTGGCACTGCAAACAGACACCGCAAGTTCCCTACAAGGCTGCAGTGAAAATTCCCAGTATCCGCACTGATACCAATGCTGGTTTCTGTGCATCCCTAGTTTAAGTGCTTATTTTTGTCTCGGTGGAAAATAACAAAGTTATACTCGCCAGATCCTCGGAGCCGGCTGGCTCTTAGACCAGTCTATCCAATCTCTCTCCCCCCTCCACTCAAGCAGTCTAGGAACCCATGAATTGTCACATCCAATACGCAGTGTATTGGCTGTGAGGATGCCAAGGGACATAACATCGCTGGAGCAGAGGAAAGGTGGCCATACACTGTACAACCATCGCAAGACCTTAGTCTTGCGATGGTTGTAAAGTGATTTAAAAAATGTACGATCTGCCCATCTTGGACAGGCAAATCGTACTCTCGATCATCGCAAGCCCGCCCCCTTCCGATGACCGCAATGCTGAACGGGCAGTGTGCATGTGCGCACACCGGCCCGTTCGGCATTTGTCTCCCGAGCACCGTTCAAACCAGCTGAAAATCGTACGATTTTCGGCTGGTTTTCTAGCATGCTCCTTAGACAAAAGACGTGCGACCGTACAGTACGGTCGCACGTCTTCGTTCACACTGCTCGATTCTCGTACGATCGCGGGATTTCCCGCGATTCTCGTACGAGAATCGAGCAGTGTATGGGCACCTGAAGAGACAGGCCGAAGGGACTAGTCTAGCAGCCAGCCGGCTGCCAGGTTCAGGTGGGTATAATGTTGTTATTTTCGCACTTAAAAGAAAACGAGCACTTAAAGAAGGACTCCGGAATTTTTTTAATTAACCCTTGCAGTGGGGCTATCCCTGCACTGCAAGCGTTAAGTGTCCGTTTGTGTCTAGGTGCTAAAATAGCAAAGATATACTCACCTGAAGCTCCGAGCCAGCCAGCTGTCACAGTGCTCCCTCCAGCCTGTCCCCTCAAGTCTATGCACAGTGTATAGATGTGAAGATTTACTGCACCTTAGACCGCTGCAGAGGAGGGGGAGAGACATTCCAGAAGACGGCAGTGCAGGGGTAGCCCCACTGCAAAGGGTTAATTATAAAAATTCTCGGGGTTTTGCTTAGCCCTTGCAATGTGGGTGTAACCCTTAAAAATGACAAGAAAGGCACCCTTAGAAATATCCCACGAGGCACTTCAAAACTCTGACAGTCACAGGTATGACTCCCAAAGGCAGGGGCATGATGCAATTCGTAGTTTCACCACAGCTGGAGTGCCAGAGTAGGGCTAACCCTGCTATAGATCATTGCAGGCTTTTTATTCTTTGCATAGGTTTTTTTTTTTTTCTTTTCCTTTCCGTTCTCCTCACTGGTCATTTTGATGAATTCCAGTTTCTGAGCTGTGCTTGATGAGCTTCAGTTAGCTGCAAAGGTGATAGACCCCTAATGTCTCAAAGAGGACCTGTCACCACTAAAGTGCAATCACATCGGTGGCTTGAAAGGGTTGTTGTTTCCTCATATTACCCAGGGTTTGTGCCCCATGTAAATGGTGTTTAGCTTAAGAATAAATAATCTTAAACGGTACACGTGGCCCAGATCTGTTCTATAACATCAATTTGAGGTGCTGGTCTTTTCAGTAACGGGTGCATAATATTTTGGAAATGCTCTGACTAGATCCAGTGCAATGCAAAGTGCTTTATTGTGGATAGATAAAGCCTTGTCTTATGATCACACTCCGAAATGTCACCACATGACAGTTCAAGGACACAGGAGCACAGACAGGCTCACTGGGGACCGCGCACGCAGGACATATTTACAGACTTGTGAAAACACCCTACGCCCAAAGAAGTACAGGAGCTTCTTTGGGGCGTATTTGCCACGCGTATCCATTAGGATACAGCCGGATAGCCCTCGGTAAAAACGCACGTCAAATGCACATATTCGGTATGCATAGGTGTGAACCCCAGCCTTATTGTGCAGTGTCACGTGTTGTGATAAAGTATCACAAGGCCATGATGTAAATGGGCCCTAAATAAATCATAGTCTGCGCTGCGGTGATTCCAGCAACTTGCAGGTGGCGTTGATTTTTTTGCAGAGTTTGGAGTTTGCTGATGAATCGGCAGCTTCTATAGCTTGTACCTCTTTACCAGCTAGAAATTACTAAGGAAAAACAAGCAAACATTTTTTTAACTGCTGCAGATTGCTACTAGAAAGTTGCACATAGAAATTGGCCCACCACAGCTAAATTAACCATTTTTTCACAATTTCCAATTCAAAAATACCAGGCGATTACCATTGGTATTGTAATAAAACCAGGAAAAGAGATACATATAACATAGGTAGCCTGCTCATTCCCCAGAATCTCTCTGTACACCTGTTTATTGCTGCTCTGTCTGCCTCCCACATTATTATACAGGTGAAACTCGAATAATTAGAATATCGTGCAAAGTTCATTTATTTCACTAATGCCACTTGGTGAAACTAATATATGAGATAGACTCATTACATGCAAAGCAAGATAATTCAAGCCGTGATTTGTCATAATTGTGATGATTAAGTAGCAGTAATAAGAAACCGGTGTCCTGTTTGCTGTGTTTTAAAAAAAATGCAGCCTGAACTAGTTTTTTGTGTGTTGAACAGGCTGCCTAATGCAGCGTGCTGCAAAGCTCCTCAATTGTGTGTTGCAGCACAGTAGCAGCAATACATTTCCCCCTTTATTGGTACCACTGGTAATGATAACGCAAGTCCATGAACCCATCGCACTCAAAAAACGCCGTTCCAAAGAAGTAAGGGTGGATGCTGCGGTAGTTTACGGTTGGCAACCGTGGAGAATATCTGGTAAAGTATAGAGAGACACCGGCACTCCAATAGTGATTCAAATATGTCTGTTATTTGACGTATAAGTAGCATAATGCGATACACTTAATGCGACGTTATGGTGTCACACAGGATCCCCTTCAACAGGCAAAGCAAATGACTTGTTTTGCCTGATCATGGGGATTTTGCGTGACCCCAAAACGTTGCATTAAGTGCATCACATTATGTTGCTTATATGTCAATAAACAGACATATTTGAATCACTATTGGAGTGCCGGTGTCTCTCTATACTTTACCAGAAACGTGCACCCCTGAACTGTTTCCTCTACCAGATAGTGAGTGACGACAGCATTCGACAACCTGCTGCCACTTTCTATTGACTGTAATTCGGACCCCGTAGGCTGCAAAAGAAACTCTTAATGGAATGCATGCGACATGCTGGCCACAAGTTGGACAGCCCTGATCTATACCAAGAAAGTCAATGATAATATTGTAGAACAGATCATTTACTTTGTAGTGTGATTTAGGGTTTTTCTTTTGTCACATGTTCCTGGCTTTTTAAAATTGCTTTATGGCACGTAGTTTGGACTGAGTGCCTCTTGAATTCTTAAGTAGTCTGTTCTCCCTTGATACTGTGTGTTACGTTGCATTACCATAATAATTAAATTTCAGATTAATTGTAATAATTGAAGTTGCTATCATTGAAAACATTGACAGCTAGGTTACTCCGCAGTTTATTATGTTGTCACAATATTTTCTGGATATTTTCTCGATATCAACTACAAGTATCAAGAATTCGTTGTATGGACAAAACCCAGTAGACAATATGCCTTACACATTTGCAGGTGTGGCCTAATGGTTTTAGAGCGCCTAATGGCACCCCCTTCTCTGTCCCCACATGCAAGTCCAAAATATAGCATCTCGGATCATCCATTATCTCATTTTCAAGCAACTAGCTCGCACCCCGCTCTGGCTGTCTTCCCCTGAGTTGCTAGCGGGTGGTTTGCAGTACTGTGCCCTTGCTGCATTTACTATTATGGGCTACCTCTTAGGCTGTCAATGGTAGACTTATTTAATGTGCAGGCTTTATGTTGTACAGTGTGAAAAATACTTTTGTGTTGATCTGTATTTGTAAGATTTTTTTTTTTCCTGTTTATAACATGCATATTATAATTGTGATAATTTGTCTTCTGTAGGAAAAGGAGAAGCTAATTCAGGACACAAGAAAGAGATTTGCACAGGATTATTTACAAGGTCTGTATATACAATGCTTGAACTATATTTACATGCTGATACCATGTGTGACGTACGCCCGGCCCAGACCCGCTGTACGTCAATCCCACGTTACCATACACAAGTCTGAACCGAGCGTGAGCGTCACAAGGACGTGGCAAATGCACTCTCAGCCTCACCCTGTGCAGAGATTTTCCAGCTCGCAGGACACAATCTCAGGTCAGCAGACTGAGCGATCGTCACCAGGGTTGGTTAACTCCGCAGTTAACCCTTTACCCACCAAACTTCCACTGCCACCATGGGTTTTTCGGAACACAAACCGCGCACAGCAAATGCTGCGACAATTTAAACACTTAAACAATGCCTGTGATACCGATCACTATACAGTAGCGCTCTTCACAGAGGCAAGGAGACTTTAAGTTCATAAAAAAAAGTGGAAGTCTGCAGGGCTCTTCTTCAAGCAGAATTCCAGCAGATAATGTCCAAAGATTAAAGGGGAACTCTTCTGCGATGTCCAGACCTCTAGTTCCTCGATGATGTTTAAACCAAGAGCCACTCTAGTTGCCAACACAAATTATTTTATAAGCCCCTTTTGGAGGGTGTCCCGGAGCCGGCCCCTAGGCAGGGCTGGGGCAGGAAAGCAGGCGGAGGATGAACCTTTAGTTTACCCTATCGCTTGATGGCAGCTTCTTTCGAGGCAGTTGCATTTGCTCAGTAAGTATCCAGACAAACTGGCTTGCTTGACACTGATCTCTTTTCTGGTGGCTTAGGAATCCAGTTCTTGAGTTGGGGAAATCCTTTCTCCTGCTCTCTTGGAAAATACTAACAAAAGTTGCCAGCATGAAGGGCTAGGTAGGAGCCCTAGACACTTTGTTGGTGCAGGGGATTTGGTTACCAGCCTTGTTCCAGCCTTGTTGACCATTCACATTCCAGACATGAACAATTGTCGTGTAGACTACCTAAGCTGGCACCGCCTGGACCAGGCAAACCAGGTTATAGACCAGGTTCAACAAAAACTGGACTTGTCTCCAGATGCAGAGATCCTCTGGCAGATGCAGTGGATGCGCTAATGATTCTGTAGAATCAATACCGCCTGATCTATGCTTTTCGCTCTTTGAAATGCCTGGCTTGTCTGTTCCACAGGATCGAGATGGAGGGTGTTCTGGTGATCCTCATTGCTCCAAACTAAACTAGCCCGGGCAGATGTGGTATTTTGACTTGATCAAACTTCTGAAAGACACTCTTTGGGCTCTTTAGATCAACTGGATCTCCTATCCCAAGGACTGGTTTACCACCCTTCATGTTTGCTGGCTTTAACGGCATGATTGTTGAAGCCCAGGTCTTGAGAGACAGGAGTCTCTGCTTCAGTAATCACCATGCTATTAAAAGCTATGAAATCTACCTCCTGCAAGGTCTACTATCTCACATGGAATTTGCATATTTGCCTGTTCCGCAGAAAGAAACAAGTTTGTATACCAGGAAATACTCTGTGGGAAGAATTCTGAGCTTCGGATTTCAAGAATGTATCAGCATTTGCCCCTGGGTATTCTCAAAGGACAAAACTCGGCCCCTGGGATCTTATTGAAATGATCACTAACCTCTCAAACATTTGTTTAGACATTTGTACAGGGTGTCTACTGTGTAGGTCCTGTACAACCAGCTGTGACTCTGTGGGAATTGAATCTGGTTCTGATGGCTCTTTTAAAGACCGCTTTTTGAACTTATCAGAGATAGCATCACCTTTGACAGCCGTGTGTTTGAGCTAGTGGCCTTCGGCTGTAAAGAACCCTTTCTGGTGGTCATATGCAAGAATAAGGTGGTGTTGAGGTTTAGAGCCTCCTTCCTTCCTAGTGGATTTCTCTTTAACCAGAACATTGTTCTTCCGTCTTTGTCCAGCTCCCATACACGGTCCAGAAGGAAATTCCTCTTCACTGCTTGGATGTAGTTCATGCTGTGGGGGTTTACCTCTTAGCAACTGCTTCCAATAGAAATATTTTTTTTTGTTTTGTTATGCCTGATGCTTCCCATGAAGGGAAACCAGCTTCTCACCTGACCATTTCTCTGTGGCTCAGACAGATCATCATACGAGCTTAAGCTTATGGTCTTAAAGACAATGTCTTTTTCCTGTCAAAGTGCACTCTACTAAGCCTAGAACTGTTTGTTGGGCTTGTTGTCATCAGGCAACTATTTCCCAGATTTTCAAGGCTGCCATCTGGTCTCCTGTTCACATATTCCCTAGGTTTTGCCAGGTGGATATTCAGGGCTTGTCTTTGAACTTCTGTCGGCCTGTTACTGTTGCCCACTCCCTCAGTTGGACTGCTTTTGGACTACATCCCGGTTGTCTCTGTGTAAGTGAATCTTGTGTCCCTTAATGAAAGAAAACATAATTTTTGTAGTTACTGTAATATCCCTTTCTTTGAGTTTCTTAAGGGGAACAGGTCCCACCCCTCTATTTTTTGTGATTTGCCCCTAGTACTACTTTCTACAAAGGTTAAGCATGCTGGGAGTGGGAGGGGTTATACCTGGCTGACCATTGGCTTACTTAGTTGTTTACTTTGTTGTCAGCATCCAAATCATCTTGTAGGCAACAGTATAACAATTGTCTCTGAATAAGTGAATCCTGTGTCCCTTAATAAACTCCAAGAAACGTGTTTTATGGCAAGTCCAAAAAATCCTGTTTTTGCTACTATTTTAAACTTCTGATGTGAGAATGATTGCAGTGCTTTTCAAGGAGATTAGTATTCCGGAAACCAGCAAACTGTAGCAACATGTGTCCCTGCACCTAAAGATCTTTACATCTGATCAACTTTTGACATTTATTAATGTTAATCATAGCAACTTGATAATAGCCAACAGGCATCGTAGTGTCCTTATTTAACTATTCAATAGCAGTGTTCTCTCGTCAGCTGCTTGCCAAGTCATGCTCTAGCTTGGCATGAATAACTTTCTCTTGAGTAGGTCAGATGACTTTAAATTTGGCAACCTTTTACTGTACAAAATGTTTTACAGTAAAAATTCTGGTTTTGGTTCTTAAAAGTTTGGTCTTATGTCTTTTTATATTGCTTTTTTACCGTGTAATTTTAGTGGTTATTGTGTTTTAAGAAGACTCCACTTTTTTTAAAATATGGAGTTATATGTGGTTTTGTTTCTACAAAGAAAACATATACACAATGATCAGAGTTGTCACAGAACCAATTCAAGGTACCAAGATAAATCTGTAGCATATTTCAGCTGGATATTAGATCCTGGCTCTCGACACCTGGCATTTTGTGAGAATGAGCCACTATTAGGCATTCTGTCAGACCTTAGCAGATGTCCCACAGTATGTTCAGTTGGCTTAGAGTTGCTCATCTGGCAGTCTGTTATACCTCCTGGAGTGATGTCAGTGTTCTCAGCAGATCCTTCCAAATGTATGTCAATATGATGCTACTTATGCCTATGCGTTTAAGAGAAACAGTGCTTTGTAATATGTATCAGTAATCGGATATAATAATTTGCTTGACCGAGTCACTTTAAATACATGACATTGGATTCCTAGAGCACTGTTAGTTGGCTAAAGAGGTAGCACAGCACAGGCTGGTGAAAGAACACTGCGCTACATACGGTACTTAAGTTTCAGTCAGGCTGTGTCTCATTGAAACCACTGACAGCTGTCTGATAAGGAATTAGTAACTGCTCAGAGTGTGCATAAATGTATATGTAAATTTAATTTTGAACTTTTGATCTCTGTAGACTGGATTTGTACAAGGCTTTGTAAATAAAGCATGAAAGGTAGCCTAAAGCACCATCTGAATGCTGGATAGAAGACTTATAAGACTTATGTCTTATACTCCTGTGAAATATTCAGATATACTTGATCTTTTTGAAATGGTCCTTTTTTTTTTTCAAGCCCTGGCTGTAACAAAATGTGCACAAAACCATTTTTCCCCCTGTTATAATAATTGTAGACGGCGTCTTTGAACTATGTTGAAACTGGAGTCCTCATAGACTTCGTCTCCCGAGGCAGGAGCGCTTTAGCCCAGTTTCTACTAAGTGCTTGTTGCACTTTTGCCTCAAGGAAAATTGATAAAACTAGAGAAAAGCCATCGATCAATTTTTCAATTTATTTTTTAACCTTCACTAAAAGGTAATGATTGAAATTTTAGTTTAAAAATTGTCTCCATATGTTGGCAGAGTTGTCAACCATGTTAATAATAATGATATAGTGTTATAACCGCAAAATTATGCTCACATGTTTCTAAATCATTGTTTCGCTTCTAGACAATTCCAGTAAGTATGATAGCCGCGACGTAGACAGACTTCAGAAGGATGATGGCTGGGTGGAAAGCTATCTGCTGTGGAGGCATAACGTGATTGAGGATGCTTTGAAGATGATTGATGACAGCTTTAGATGGAGGAAAGAAATTGCTATTAATGGTAAGCGAAAACAACATTTTTGTTAGTTCTTGGTGTATGTGAAGAAACACAGAAAAGCACCAAAATCAAGTAAATAAAATAATTTTCACTGGCTGTTGGGTCTTTTTATCAAAAGGCATGTAGGTTATTGGTGGTTGTTGATGAGATGAATCATGCAGTCAGACCTCCATGACTGAGTTCTGCATTCTCCCAGGACATTGGGTCTCATGTCCTCCTGCTGCATTGTATGTAATATATAACCTGAAAATTCATGAGGGAACACATATTCTTGTCAATTACAATGGTAGGTGGGTGGATCAGAGATGCAGTTGCCTCATATTGTTTGAAAGCCAATGTCGATTTTGGATGCACAATCCCTTTTAATCTTCCCTTGGTAAAATATAATACTTGTCAGTCAATTGTCATATTTTTTTCTTTTTAATATCAATCAAAAGCACTGAAAAACATTATGACATACTTTAAGCTTATCAATTTAACTTCCGTCATCCTTTTTTTATTGTATTGACTGGAGTTAATTATTTATTTCTACTTGCTGACCTCTTCCTGCAGTAAAAAAAATGGTTCAAGCCAATAAGAAAAAAAGAGGGATGTCATTGTATCCAGACAGTCCATCTTAAAACCGACTTTACTTTCGAGTCTGAGTTTTCACAGCTGCTATCCAAAGCATTTCTAGAGAATAGAGAGATAAAACAGTGGATTCTCCATCCTGCTGCTGTTTAACATTGCTTGAAAGAATGTCCTCTGACAATTCATATATTTTGGTTTCATACCACTGTTGTACTGTGACAGTGTGCAGATATTTGGTTGGTGTGTGCATTACGGTGTAACATTAAGTCCAGCATACTACACTGATAAATATCTCTTTAGTTGTACCGCATGTTGACTACATCTAATCTAATGAGATATGTGAAGTCAGAATCAATCTGTAGAAAACATGTACCTCTAAGAGATAAAATCAATATTTCAGCAAACTGGAATGACAGGACAGCAGAATTTATAATATTAAAGTCTTCTGATTTATGCTTGCTTTACTGGGGTGCTCACAAGAGAAAACCTAATTCCCTGCTGGTATTAATCATTAAATGCATACTTTTTCTGTTAAACAGGCGCAAGGAATATTTCAAGAGCCAGGCATTCTGCCTTTTATTATTTTTATTAACCTTTACATATCCTTGCTCAACAGAATCCTCTATAAAATATTATATATGGTACCTTCTCTACAATATTTGATATTGGAATTATTTCTGGATTTCAAGTTTTATTCTCTGATCAGGTAGATTTATTGCCAGGTGACAGTTTTTCTAAAACAATATTGACTATTTTAGGACAGTGGTGGAGCGCCAGAGCCAGGTCCCAGCTGCAACCCCGGTAGTTCTCATGAAAATGCCAAGTATTGGCACTGGTATCTGAAAAGTATTGGTGCATCCCTACTTCTGAATATACACTCAGTGTGTCCTTATCTGAGTTAGATGTCATCCACTGAAGCCACATCCTGTCCCTCAATTTGTGGTGCTTGGCAAGCCTGCTGTGGGCGGAGGTGAGAATACCTAGACTTTTCGCTGGTCATCCACCTAGCTTTCTCAATTCTGAATTGAGAAAGCTGGTCGGATGCAAAACGTCTTCAAGACAAATACAGCAAGTCCAGTTGCCTTGATTTATTTTTTACAGATATACCATGACCTGGATGAATGAGAACCTTCACAGACCCACTGTTCAGTTGTTCAAGCCTGATTGTTTTCCTATATTAGCACCAGTTTGAGCAGCTGTTGTGAGCGGCTTAAGGTAGAGTTAAAGGTAGTCTCCAGGTAAAATTGAAAATAAACTCAGATGTTTACATGCTGCCTGTCTGGAGCATATGTTTTATATCCAGAAATAGCTGGAAGTTTTATAAATGGCACTGAGCACTTTTTCCCCCTATTAATTAAAATCATCTAGAGCCTAAGCTTTTAAGTGTTCAGTCTAGGTATTCTCACCTCCGCCCACAGCAGGCTTGCCAAGCACCACAAATTGAGGGACAGGATGTGGCTTCAGTGGATGACATCTAACTCAGATAAGGACACACTGAGTGTATATTCAGAAGTAGGGATGCACCAATACTTTTCAGATACCAGTGCCAATACTTGGCATTTTCATGAGAACTACCGGGGTTGCAGCTGGGACCTGGCTCTGGCGCTCCACCACTGTCCTAAAATAATTAGTCAATATTGTTTTAGAAAAACTGTCACCTGGCAATAAACAAGAATGTATCAGTACTTGTAAGTACTTGGGCTAGTATCAGTACTTGTACTTGCGAAAAAGGTATTGGTGCATCCCGAATATATATTTATAAAAAGAAAATCATACATTAAAACGGAGATGTACAAATCCCAGGAGCTCAGTGTGCTCCTTACAAATGACAGCTGCCTCCTAACTTTTGAATTTTTCTCTAGTCTGGTCTTTGAGCTGGAAAAGTATCTGTACTTGTACCGAGTACGGTATTTGGTATTGATGCATCCCTATTCAGAAGGCTGTGATTATTCATGGATAGCATTTACAGTTCACAGATTAATTTCAGTTGTTGCCTGGAGTAGCACATATGCAACCTAAATGTATGCTGACTTGAGCATAAATGTTGAGGCTGCTTTGCTTCGTTGTTAGTACAAGGTATAAAAGCCTTCCAGAAAATGGCTGTGCGCAGGTTGAGTGGCTGTATAGTCATGTCATACTTGTGCTATATTCCAGCAATTCAGAATCTGAAGTTGTCTGCTGGGACATAAAATACTTATTTGCGTGGCTATGCCCATTGTCCTTCAAAGTGCATCTAAAGCCAAAACTTCTATCTTTTTAGTTTTCGGATAGAATGTGGAAGGGTTGAAAATGCTAGAAAGGTTTAATTGCTATCTCTGTTCCTGCTGGGGAGATTCACCCCCTCAGTTTGTCCTGGTGATCATTGTCACCAGGACAGAAAGTGGTTAGGAATGCAAAATTTTACAGCTGTCCCAGGAACAGGAATGGAGAGCAAGTCTTCCAGTGGGGACACCTGATCCAGTGACAACTGTCTAAGAGGGGTTTCTCACCTTCTACCGTCTGACCGGATTTTAAACCCTCCTCTTCTCAAACTTTAAAAATGTAAAAAAAATAAATAAAAATGTGTAGCTTTAAAAACATTTCAATCTCACTTTCAGTCCCTGTGACAGCAGGTGAACAAGAAGACACAGCATTAACAATAACCCAAAAAAAGGTTCTAACTCTCATTATTTTACTGTAAAAGTTTTTTTGTTTTTTGTTTGTGTCTCCAACAGAAAGATTTCTCATCGCTTCTGAAACGTCCTGTGGTTAGGATTTAGGACTGGGTGGCTAGTATTAAATCTCTCATTACTTACAGAAGATTTTCTTCAATATTTTACAGATCTAAGTGAATCCATTATTCCCAGATGGTGTTTTGAAGTCGGTGCTACTTATCTTCACGGTTATGACAGAGAAGGCAATAAACTTTGTAAGTGGAACACCTGTGATATGTACTTTTAATGTATCATGACCCATAATAAAGTACTTTGTCAATTCATAACACAGTATAAAATATATTTGGCATGGGAGTGTGATGTAAAATTTGATAAGTCTGTGTGAGAATACGGTGTAGACTTTTGTACTACAGAGTATACAAATAGAGTATATCATCCTTGTACATCAGACAGCCTGTGAAAAGCTGTAATTCTTTTTGGGACTGCTTATATTATTGAATTTCTTCTACAGCACAATTCACAATTCTTCATAAAGATAGATCTGTAGTTCCCCAGCTCCTCATCTGCTCTTGGTTGCTTGTATGCAGTGTGAATAGGGTCATAAGTGTGGCTGTTTCCTTCCTCTGATCATGAGTATCCTCTTAGTATGATAATAAATCAAATAGGCTGGATACAAATGTTGTTGTTTAATGATCTCATCTAGTACTTCATTTGATAACGACCTAAATTTTTGGTAGCCAGGTAAAATTTTAGGTTGCAAGCTCGTGTTTCACCTCTTTAACAATCCCTAGTGCAGCAACCATGTAAAAATCAACTTTTCCTTCAAGTGTCTGATTTTATTCTGCATGAATACAGTGACATCCCTACTTTCCCATTTGGATAGAATTTTATATAATATTTTTTTTTTCTATTGGCTGAGGTCAACCCATAGAAAAAAAGAATAATTCTCGCCAATGGGCCAAGAATGGGTAAAGGTGGTAGCACATAGTTTTCACAGCTGCTTTCTATGGATGGCTAGAGATGAGTGACCTAAGAAAGGAAGCAACAAAGAGTTTACAACAGCCTCTTTTCACAGCTACTGTATTGTTAGGTGAGAAATGGTATGGGACTCTGCAAACAGTAAGTGGGTTTTTTTGCCCTGAAATTGCATTGGGTATTTCTTATATCACGAGTTAGGTGCAAACAGTACTTATATATTCAATATTTGTGAGGACCTCTGTGTGGTCTGTGTAGTGCAAGGTAATTTCCCTTTGTGAATGGACTGGAACTTTGCGAGTATAGCAAAACAAAAATTGCAATAGGTAAATAAGATCTGCGCAGGTCTCTACCACTCAGTAGGGTTAATTAGTTTGGGCAGTCCAATGTACAAGTATTTAATTGTGCCTAGAAACATTATATGTCTGTTCCCTGTGTGAACTATCTGTCCATATCAGATGGCCATATCAGTCCAGATAAAAGACCATTCCAACTGGTTAGGTTTCCCTGGTCAGTCACTTTTAATTTTCAATGTGATTTTGACACTGGATTTTGTCATATCAAACCAATGTTAGCATAATTATCACCAAACAGACACATAAAGGAGACTGTTGGCAGACTATGTAGGCACATCTGCCTCTTTCCTTTTCCTTTTAAAAAAAAAAAAAGATTAAACTAAACAAAATAATCATACATTTTTGTTTTATTTACATTTTCTTCTTTTGTATGTATCTGGCACAGTGCTTGCTGCATCTGCACGATACCACTTGTGCTTGTCATTAGTGGCCATCATCCTCTTCCTGGCAATGGATGCCAGCTCACTATGGACATATCAGAAAGGTTTCTTACACGTGTTTTTTTTTTTTTTTTTAAATTCCACATTGTTTTCAGGTTTCTGTGATAACTGCGCATAACTGTAATTATTGCTGCCATAGAAACCTCTAAAAAGTGTTTGAATGAAGAAGAGAGCACAGCAAGCAAGTGAATAATCAGGATATCACAAACCAAAACTCTTTTGGAGATAATAATGGAGAATTTACAAGACTGACCAGCTATAAAAAAAAAAAGCAGAAATCAGCTAGTATAAAAATCCCCGGAGTGCATCCGCTGGTAAAGGTCACATAACTTATGCCATGGCGCTACACAATTTGTTTTTTTAAAACAATGACATTTATAAAATATTTTCAGGAAGAATTCAAAACAAAAAGTAGAAATGTCAGGGTGCAGCTAAGGCATAGTTACATTTACAAGTTCCCCAGAAAACAGCAGATCTTCTGTTTTTTGAATTCAAGGCCACCTTTACCCCCTTTTACAAAAAATCACCTCAGCATGCAGTTCTACATGCTGATATGAAATCCTCTTACATTCATAGGTTAAACATACAATTGTTTTTCCACTTCTGGATCCTACTGGGCATCCTGGGAAGCTTACATCAGCAGAGCATTTCTGAGAAATCTCATCTGTAATCTCAGGAGATCTCAGCGAAAGGCATTTTCCTCCCCTGAGATGATGTGCATGGTCACATGTCCTAGTCACATGTGCCCAGAATTACAGGATGTAAAGGGAGATATATTTTATCTGCTCTTAGTAAAAATGGCCACTGTAAGAAGAATGGAGAGAAAAATAAGGTATGCAAAGAAAAAAAACTGCCCATTAGCAATGAGTATCTGTTTGTAGATTGGCATCATTTCTAAGGCCCCATTCACACCAGGGCGCATGCGTCCCAGCGCAGATTTTAAAAGGGCGGTTTTGGATGTTTTTATTTGCATTTCAGTGCTGATCAGCACGTTTCCATTAAAATCTGTATGGATCAGGAAAAAGGCTGGGGGAGCATTTCCACGACAGGCGGTTCATATCGCACGGAGCAGATCCCATAGGAATGTATGGGATCGTTAATGTCGGCGGTTCAGCGCGGATAAATCCACGCAATTGAACCGCCCTTGTGTGAACGGGGCCTTAAGGTGTATTTGTTGTCATTTCAAAGATATGGGTAAAGTTCCTCTTTAAGGTGTGATTGAGGCGCGCTAAAATGACGTGATATTGTTTTTTTTAAAAGGCTACATTGAGAGGTTAAATAAACATTCAAAAGAGATCAGCCTAATGTACAGTGGCTTGCAAAAGTATTCACCTCCTTTGCATTTTACCTGTTTTAGTGCATTTCCACCTGGAATTAAAATTGATTTTTTTTTGGTGGGGTGGATTTTTTAATCCAGTACAAAAAAAAAAGTAAGCGTGGTAAGGTAAAAGCGGCCATAATAGCGCAAAAGATGCACTTTATTTTCTCTTAATTACATAAACCAAGGTCTTTTGATTCATTACAACGTTTACCCGGTAAGTACACAGCCATTGTACAGAATTGTTGCTTCGATTGACGCAAGAAGCCAGAGGTCATCTAATTAAGAGCTTTTCATGGCTTATCCTCTTGCTTGGTGCATTTTACTTTGTGCTGTATGTCGTGATTGAGATATAAAGAAGAACTGTGATGGCTGAACCTAGAGCACACCAGGGCAAAGCTTCGTGTTCCATTTAGATCCAAGGTCTGTAAACAGCCACACTTCTTTTCCAGCTTAATCAATGGTGCTGCTTCAGTACGGCTTTCATGAAGTTTCACTTGTGTATATCCTTCAGACGAGTTATATGCTAATGTTTCACTTAATGCTGAGCAGAAGTCGTGTGAAGTTTCATTAAAGCACTCCTCTGTTCTGGAATAAACAATAGTCTTATGACCAGGCCAGGCCTTGTTCTATCCATTCTTTGTTGTCCAGCAGTCAGTCATGTGAAATCTAGTTCTCAGTGTACCAGTTAGTAACACATTGTGTCGCATTCTTGTAAAACTCACATTAAAAATGATCATATCTACTTTGGATCCTCTCTGAAATGTCTTTTATGTTTTGTTTTAATTATCAGAAGAGAGACTGTTTTTATGAGTTACACATTCTACTGTGTAGAGTCATGCACTTTTCAGCTCACTTAAATCTGGTCTAGACATCCTATAAATTGCTTGTAAAATGAAAAGCATAAATATGCTGAGTCTATGCATTACGTGTACTGTTGAAGGTACATCAAGCTGTGTTGTTCCTTAAAATTATCATGGTGGTCTATAGCGCTTTATTACATTTTGAAAGGTCAGTCCAAAGCTAGTGGTGATGAAGTAAGTCTAGGATTCAGAAGCCAGACAGTATGGATAAGGAGCGAGCCAGAAGCATTAGTGGAACTGAAATCTGAAAGCTGTGCCAAAAAAAGTAAGCAGAAGGCAAAATGACTAGTCCTCCAGTATTGCTTATAGTACCCCCTGCAGCTGATCTTTTACCATTATTGGCTTACTGTTACTTGTTTTGCACTCTCTGTATCGGGATGGCCATCTTGGTAGAGACAGGGCTTGGCTTCCTCATGTCGCAACCACCAGCATTGAGAACAGTGAACAGCACTCTAGTGACATTCCCAAATCTCCCGAGACTAGCAGTCAGCAGAAGCAGTGCCTTAGATCTCACTTTTGTGTTCTGGTTCATTTTAATAGAATTTGCTAATTTAATTGTAGACTTGTCCAGTTGGCTGTTGAACATCCTGATAATATAAAAATAAATAGTTCACAGAATACAGCTTTTCACACCCTATAGAAAAGTTTTGGATGGGCAACTCCAAGCAGAGCATTAGTCTCCACTGCTTTGTGAGTGACTTTATTTACAGACTAGACAAGGAGTGGGCAGAGCCATTCACATAGGTCTGATGTTTGAGGTCAGCTCGCTCTACACCTTTGAACAAGAGAGGGAGATCACAGCACAGAATCGTGTGACCGAAGGGAGGAATTCCATTCAAAAGACCCGTGAGCATTCTGCTACATCTGGAAGTATTAAATTAAAATCAAAAACCTGACATTGAAGTAATTTCAGTGGACATTATGACTTTAGTCTGTTTAATATGTTTCCAGGAGATCATTAGCTGTTTGCTAACTGACTTTATTTGCTTTTTTTTTTTTTTTTGCTATTTAACTTTCTATTTCTATGATTACACTTAAGGATATGACTAAAACATTAGGCACGATGGGTGTTTTAGCAGTGTTCGGGTCTTTAGCGTTTCAGCCATATCTGTCCCTTTTTTCTCTTTTCAATAACACAATTTATTAACGTCCTTTTGATTTTCGTAGTCTGGCTCAGAGTAAAGCTTCATGTTCGAGATGCCAAAACGAATGAAGACAAGAAGAAATGTGTGGCATTTTGGTTGGAGCGTTATGCCAAGAGGGAGCCGGGCAAGTTCCTGACTGTTGTCTTTGATATGGCTGAATGCGGACTTAGTAATATAGTAAGTTTGTATCATTTTAATGCCATATATGTTCAGTGAGTACACAGTCTGACCTGTTATTTAAAGCTGAACAGGCATGTATAAAACAATTAATGCAGTTATATATTCATTAAAATAGTGTTTTTTAAATGCATCTACTGTAAATAATATCTTTATATTAATGCAATGTAATCCCCTGCACAGATTCCAATTAGACTAGGAAAAAGGAGGGGCAGCATTTTGCGTCATTCAGGCTCTGATGCATGTATATGTGCTTAAAAGATAACTAAAGCCAAACCTTTTTGGCTTTCGTCCTCTTTTGGGTGAAAGAAGTACATTTACTAATGACAATATTGAAAGAATCAACCTACCTGCCTGACTGACAGCTGGCTCTGCCTTTCTCAAGCCAGAACTAGCTGTGCTTGCCGCTCCCCTGTCTGTCCCTCCAAGAGCGGTGGAGGAACAGAAAGGGGAGGGGGAATCCCTGCGGTAAGTGGTGACCGACATTCACCACTCTCTGCATGGAGACGACTGAGCTGAGCAATCAGCAGCATGGTCGGTTCACTTTTTTTGTTCACAGGGGGAAGTTTGTTTAGACGCACGTCCACAGGCTTAAAAAAAATTCAGCAGTTCATGGTTGCTCAGGTCTCGATCTATAGAGCTGGCATGTGACAACTGCAGGCGGTCTCTAAGTATCAGGAAGACTTACATTTTACTGTCCCAATCCTGCTCCTTTAAAGTTAACATGCTGCCAGAAAGTGAGAACAGAGTGAGCAGAATGATGCCATCATTGTGGTCTTGCTCCCTCATTTTCTAGTGTTTTACCAGACTTTTTGACTGACTAAGCTGTGCTGGTGCAGAAGAGAAAGGAATGATTGAGAGGTGCTTGGATAATTAAATTAACCAATTGCAAGGTGGTTTTCTAAACATGCCTACTGGCTCTGTAAAGGCAGCTCTCAACAGACTGCACCCCCTTAATGGTTACAGAAACGGGTGCCAAACCATTAATTGTTAGAAATTTGATCACCCAAAAACAGCAGACACATTAAGGGGCCAACCCTCCCCATTGAAAAATAAAATAATAGATTTTTGGATGCAGCTCTGGCCTAGTCAGCTGTGGCCCAATTAATCTGACCTCATATTCCAGCTCTGGCATTGATCTCGTCTCAAGAGGTGCTCTATTTAGGCAGCACTAACCTGGTGTGGTGCTGATTGTATGACATAAGGGCTCCAATAGCATCTATTGGGAATTTGTAAAATGTGTTTGCTGAAAATGTTCTAAAATAAAAAGCTGTAGGCAGCCAAAAACTCCTTTTTTTTCATTGTAGTTTTTTTTTTTTTAATATCATTTGCAACTGATCTTACTTTAATTTGTAATGATTGTCGTTTAACCCTGTAGATGTTGAAACTATTTTGCAAATAATTTTATGTGACTGTTTTGATGTGCTAGAATATTGAGAAGCAGCAGTCCTCTCAGTGGACCAACATCAAAGAACACTTTATGAACAAATGTTGCTCGTCTTCAAAGTATCTTTAATATAGCTGTGCAGTCACTTTTCACTGGTGTCACACACAGCAAAATCTAGAACGTTTTTCAAACCTTTAACAAAATATACACTCCGACACATCAAACTCAGATAGAAATCAAAAGCTTTTATGTTATTTATTTGTATTTTGATATAAAACAGTTTCCTATTGAAGAAAAAAAAAAACAACCTTACGGTGTCAAACCTGTTATCGGTCTGTAACTGCATGTAATAATGGAGCAAAAAGTAAACAAATCAACTGTTTGTCCTTTTTCTACCTAAGTTAAAAACAGGGCCAATGTTGGAATGGCCAAATCGATCACTTTTTCCTTGTTCTCCTACTGAAAATCTAGCAGAATAGTTATTTCTTGTAATCTGCATTCGCTGGCACTTTTGCCAGCGTTATCCACTGCATAGTAATAACCAAGTGCGATATCACATGCAAAGAAGATAAAACATGGTTTTCATTGCAAGCGGTTTCATTAGGAAAGGTTGTTCTTCAGATAATGGGAATTTGCATTCGGAATCCTCCTGGGTTTTTAGTTTGCGAAGATAAAGTGATGATTTTTTTTCCTGCTGCTATTTGAAGTGGAAGTAATATATTTATGAAAAAGGACAATGCCTCAAGGACATTTCTCTTCCAGAGTTGGTTAAATGTTTTTCTTTGTGTGTGTGTGTGTGTGTGTGTGTGTGTGTGTGTGTATGAAGATGCATTGTGTTCAGGTGTTCTAGACTAGCTGTGTTGTATCATCATGAAACCGGGAAGCACAAAGAAGGGCATATTAACAAAATTCTAAAAATAATATGGAAGTCTTTCAGTGGCAAGAAGTTAAATGACCAGAAAACTGGTAAATGCATAACCACCTTTTCTACCTCCATTTTAAAATCACCAACTTGTTTCCCCATATTCCTGGTTTCTGCACGGACATTCACGCTGTATAGTTCTGAACGTCCGTGTGAATGAGTCTAAAACTGCTTTACATTATTCACTGCCCTTTTAGTTAGCCAATGATAACGAGAATGTACCAACCAGGCACATGTGATCAGCAGCAATTTTTTTTTTTTGCAATAAGACCAATCACTTAGTTTGTCGTTTGCCAAAATCTGCACCTTCCTAAATTCTCTGTTCTCTGATGCAGAAAACAGAATTATCCTCTACATGTGATCTATGCACTACTCAGTATGTTCCAAAGTTATTGCAATGAGCCTGTATTTACAGTGTACGTGTAGGTAGGTTGGAAAGACCTTCATTAGATCCAGTTATATATTCCTTTAAAGGAGAACTATGGGGTCAGTGTTTTTCCCCATAGTTCTCCTTAGGGTAACGGGAGGACACAAACTAGCGTCCTCCCGTTACCCTAAGCTCAGTATACCGCAAGCTACAGCTCGCGGTATACTGAGACGCTGGAGCGGATCCCGACGTAGATGACGGGATCCGCCCAGCTGCGTGAGTGAAAGCTGGCTCTGCCTATCTAGAGGCAGAGCCAGCTGTACCCTCCCCCGTCCGTTCCGCCAGTCAGCGCTGGCAGATCGGAGAGGGGAATCCAGCCCCTCCCCCTGTCACGGCAGAGAGCCGTGACAGGATCGAGAGGTGAGTGAACACCGGTATGTGTTCGTTCACCTCCCGATCTACTGAGCCGACCTGTGACAGTCTCATTGTCACAGGTCGGCTAGAACTATGAGGTGAGTGGAAATCACTCATCTCATAGTTCTCCTTTTAAAAATGCTTGCATGTATTTTTGAATAGTAGCACAATTTCTTTGTACAATCCCCCTGTATTCCTTTGCACATCATTAACTGAGCTCACACCATATTTTTCTCTCTATTTAACCCAATTTCAAATATCTGGAGCCTCAAAACTGCATGTGCCAAGAAACGGCAAATAACTATGGTACCCACATTTGTCCATAGGTGACTCTTTAAAAGGCTGCACAGCTCATCAGTTTAGAGTTAAGAGGGGAATGATGGCCCTAGAATTATTGCTTTTGCTCTGGCTTGCGTGGCGATACCGAATACTGTATAAGTGAACCGACCCATGCATTTGCATGTATTTGGGGACAGAACATTACAAACACTGTAGAAGTGATCAGGAGGCTTTAATGCTGCCCAAATAAGACCATGGCATAAGGTAGCTACACATAAGATTATTTTCCTTTTTTTTTGTTCCCTGAGCTGATTGAATACCCAAACAGTGACTGTAACTGATGGTATGCAGTCATTGCTCATCCGATTCATTCTTCACCCGATGCAGTCTAGGTCAACCCAGGTGGTGCTTGCAGTGCCACCCAGGGCTCGAATTTTAGAAGGAATCGGGCACAATTCGACCTATTTGTGAGGATCTTTACATGCACTTTATATAAGTAGTTTGTGAAGATGCATTTGAAATGTGCGTATCTGTTAATTTTGTAACGCCTGTTGAGATTCCGCTTTTTTTCCACATAACAGTCTTTTGTAATGCTTTTTTTTTGCCTGATTGAATCTAACACGTTTTGGAAGGTTTTTTTTTTTGTGTTTTTTTTTTTTTTTCCTATAAACCATTAGGACAATGCACAGCCCAGGCTAAGTTTTTCTATCAGACAGAATTTGTTCTTTGCTTCTAAAAAAACAAAAAATGTATATACTGCAGCTAACCAAAATACTCCTGTTTTTATTTATTTTAGGATATGGATTTTGTACGTTTTGTAGTCAACTGTTTTAAAATCTACTACCCAAGATACCTGTGTAAGTAGCTTCTTGAAGACTTGGAGACCTTGTTGTTGGACCATTTATTTAAAAAAAATGTTTTCATATGATTCTATGTACATTTAACTCATTTTAGGCTTGTTATTTACCCATTAAAGCCCACCTTGGGTAGAGCTCAGACACCTTTCTGAGCACCACCATCTTGGATGTAATGTCAGCAGCCCCAGTAGACTCAGAGCTGTCACTCACGTGACAATCTCTAGAATCCTGGATAACAGTAAAACCCAGCAAGGTTCTATCCCACTCTACTCAAAACTGGAAAAAAGAAACAGGTTTGATTGGAATTTAAAGCACAAGTGTGATATTTTTTTTTTTAGTTATAGCACTGGTAATTTATTTTGCATAGCATACTTTTAATTTCTAAATTGTGCTTATTTGTATTCCCAAAGTAATTTCACTTTTCCATCAGCCTTAAACTTTTCAACTTATTCCTTGTAACCATGGGTGATCTATATATAAATGTTTGTCTGAGATCTACTAACCTTTTTTTTTTTTTTACGGTATGCCTATGCTCTTGCCGCACTATATTAAGAAAACAAAGAAAGGACGTGATAGAGGCAGAATTATGTAACGAGTTGTATGACAAAGTTTTGCTCTCTAATATAGTACATTACTGAATAAATGTGCCAGAATGTTATAAAGCATGTGTAGGGCTTGAAAATTCACTCATCCTCTCGTCTGTGACGCCGCCGGACGAGTAGCTTCCTGGCCAGCCGTTGTAATTAAAGCGATTGCTTGTATTAGGTGCGGTTTTACACCCGACCCTGCAGCCGCCGCCACTGTCACTGCCGGTCCCGAGATCCATTCTGCCCGGTGCGGCCAGGACCGCGGCACGGCTGCTCTGTCACAGGAGATAAGAGATCGGTACACGATCTCCCTCTGGTCCCCGAATGCTGGAAGTGATGTATATTACATCACGTCCTGCATTCAGTGTTACTCTCCAGCTTCTGTAGCTGGAGAGAAGCTGGTGAAGCAGATTACTGCTTCTTTTGGGGGTCCCTAGGTGACAGGGGAGACCCCTGATATCTCCATAAAGGGGACCTGTCTGTGTAAATTGGCTGTCGCATAGGGGGCTTCTTAGCCCCGTATGTGAAAAAAAAGTTAACTGAACTTTTTTTTTTTTTTAATTAAAAGTTACCCAAAAAAAATGTAAAGTCAAATATAAAAAATAAAAAAAAAAACAAAATTTTTTTTTTAAAGTCCCCTGCCACAAAATACACACACAAACATGCGTTGGGTGCGCCTATGTGTGAAAATGGCGATTACGCCCCACATGTTGTATCACCGCTAACGTCAGAGTGAGGGCAATAATTTTAGGGCCATTAATCACTATTAACACTAAACTGATGAGCGGTAAAAGCTTTTAAAGCGTCGCCTATGGCCAATTTTTGGTATGGTATTTTTTGCGATTTTGCGGGCACACGCAATTTTAATGTTTGACATGTTTGGTGTCTATTTACCCGACGTGACCCCGACTTTTTTATAGTTTACCAAAAATATGGGTAAGAATACATGTTTTTGAACATAACGTAGGGAAAACATTTTTTTTCTTCGAAATTTACGGTACTTTTTTCATATAGTAAAAAATAAAAACCCCAGTGGTGATTAAATACAACCAAAAGAAAGCTCTATGTGTCCCCAAAGAAGGGTATAAAATTAATTTCAGTACAGCGTTGTATGACGGAATAAATGTAATTCGAAGTACTGTAGCGCTAAACACTGAAAATGGCCTGGGCAGGAAGGGGGTGTAAACGTCTTGGTCTTTAAGTGGTTAAATAGTAACCAGCGCGCACTGTGTCCGGCTTCACTGACATCTGTAGCTGCTGGCACTGTGAAACAATTCATCCTCAAACGTCACTGAAGTCATTCAAGTCATCCTCTCAACAGTTCAGCTTCTGAGAAAACAACTTGAACAACTTAATTGCTTCTGCTGTATACTTTGAGGAAAATTGCTCCACAGTGCTTGTTGCTACAAAAGTCATTAAGGGTTTTTTTTTGGTTTTTTTAAAAAGATAACTTCCTGCTCATTAAGAATATAGAAATACTTAAATTCAAGTTGACTAATCGTAAGCCACCTTTTAAATAATATTTGTTTGACATCTGCTTGGAATCAGATAGATGAAGTTCCAGAGCAATGGCATATTTACCATTTGGATCCCAGAACCACCAACCGTTGCCTCAGCATAAAAATATTTGAGAAACTCTGTTGCAGAGTAGTGTACAATGATGGATCTGTATAGTAGTGTACAATGATGGATCTGTATAGTTTTATAAAGTATAGCTTTCAGTAAAACCACATTTTTGCAGCTTTCATTGTTATTTTCTTTTTTTTATGGGAAAAAAATGTTTGGATTGATTTTTTATTTTTTTTTTAAATTTTTAATATTTGCTTTTTTTTAACTTTTGCAGCAAAGATTGTTATCTTTGAGATGCCATGGATAATGAATGGTGAGTACAGTTCTCTTATTTGACGTTTGCCTTTTTCAGAATTGGTTGAAGGTTTCCAGGAGAGACTAGGCTTTTGTAACAGAGAAATTGCATTAAGCTTTTGAAAGAGAAGTTCTTTGTATGTTATTTATCGGTACTGTAGACTTCTTTTGTAGAAATGTTCTGTATTTTATCAACAGATGTGTTCTTTTTAGAATGCCTTTCTTTAATGATGCATTTCTGTTCATGTTCAAAAGCTCTGTTAAAAGCAGGCTAAAATTACGTTCCAGTCAGGATAAAATAAAAAAAAAAAAAAAGCATCTCTGTGCATACAGGGGGATTCCAGCCTACTTGTTAAGGAATTTTGTTTTTCATCTGGACATGCCGTAGTCCACCAAGCTAACCTATTGTCCAAAACCACATTGTTCTCAATATTCTAGGAACACATTTGCTCAAGCCTGTGAACATGCAGAGTAGGCATTCAATTCTCACTATTGTAGTATTTTTTCTGACTCAGACATTGCACGATGCAGTCATGTGACAATAGGTTTCAGTTCCATCCAGAAACCCATATGAGACACAGATCAATTTATTTATAGCACTGTGCTCCAAGATGCTTTGAGAGGTCATTTGGTTTGACATTGACACAAATTGCAGAGCATTGGTATGAACTGGCGCGTTTGAAAACAATGGATTTTTTTTCATGCCCTATGCATTTTGGCTGCATTGAGCAACTGTGGTGTAAAGGAGCCCTAAAGGAATGATTCTTTGCTGCCTATAATAACAAACCATTTTGAAGCTACTGTACTGTACATCTTTCTGGTTCAAGCAAGAGAATGAAAAGTGACAGGTTGTTGTGGGGAACACACATTCTTTCAATTCTTTTAATCTGTACAGCGATATTTCAAATAATTTTACACCCTGACAAGTGTTGTAAGCTAACCACAGGCAATCGTCCCTTTTGAGATGGGCTTTGAAAAATGTGTCCATACAAAGCTAGAACCGAAGCAATCTAGATGTGGTGGAGACTTTGTTCTCTGTCTTTGGGAGAGGAAATGGTTTCCACCAGGTGACACAGAGACTTTGTTTGTAGATGTTGGATAACATCAGCATGCAATAATGAGGGATTTTGACCACCGAAATGCTCATTACATGCCCTTTGATTTCCTTTCTCTATGCATTCCATATTTTGAAAGCAATTCTTGAATGGGAAGCATCACTTGTTTAATCATGCCATGTATTGCCAACTTACATTAATTAAACTCAGCGGTAATCATGGTCATCAGTAGTGCCTATGGTTTGCCAGGCACATACAACAGGACAAAAAAAACTGTTGAAGGCTTCCAGAGTGATAGCAATGTATAAGGATAAAGATCAGAAAATAGCATGCAATACGTTGTTGTTATTCGGGGCATCCCTGACTTTATTATTTTAATAGAGGAGTTTTCTCTAGTATAAATCTCTTTTCTATCTAAATATAATTGTACTTTGAAATGTGATTTCTGAGTTTATCAAAGAAGTTCTCTATAATGGACAAATCATTATATTTAACATGCTCTTTAAAAGAATTCAGCCTGATTGTGTGTTGATTTCATGGCTGACCAATCTCTGTGAAAAGAAGACTTTAGTGTAGTCCAAACTCCCCAGGCAATCTCCATTGTACCCTGGAATTAAGGCAGGACTAGTAGCAATGTGTTCTGCAATCTTGAAGTATAACTAAAGTTGTTTATTTTGTTTTTTCTTTAAGATTAGGATACATTAGTTAGGGCTTAGAACCACTGTCAGTTATTTGTGTTGTCTGTCCTCGTTTGGGAGATTCTTGATCGGACTTGATCGGATTGCCAAATGCAAGTCTATGGGCATCCGTGTGAAAACGGATGAGCAACTGTTTACACCCAGTTACCCCTGCTTCCGGCTAGGTCCAGACAAATAGACGGATCAGAGATTCGTTTGGCCAGACCAAATCAGGGGTATTCTCATGTAAACTCCCATTTACAGCAGATTCCCCATAGACCAACGTGGGGTCCAGCAGTTTTTTTCCTCCATCGCAAGGTGAAGGAAAAAATGTACAGACACGGATGTCACAGCAGTGACTAGGGATGCACCGATACCAGTATCGGTATCTGTACCGATACCGAGTATTTGGGCGAGTGCTCGCACAAATGCTCTGATACTGGAACTTCCAGTCAGGGAGATTCCCTCTGAGCGGCAGTGCCGCGAGGGAACATGGAGCTGGCTTCCCGGGCAATCAGGAAGTCGGGCGGCGGTTAATGACTCTCCTCCTGGCTTCCTAATTAGCCGTGAAGCCGGCTTGATGCTGTTTGCCCAGGAAGCTGGCTCTATGCTAGCGGAAGTACTGGTATCGGCGAGTACTGAAAGCTAAATATCGGTACTCGATACCGAAAAAACGGTATCGGAGACGTGCTTTGTACTGCTGTGATCAGCCCGTGTGAAACGGGCCTTTTAATTGTCCTGATCATTAGTGTCACAATTAATGAAATTGAGGGTAAATCCAGAATTTTGATTTACCACCAGAACAGGAAGAGAGGAGAAATCAAATGATGGAAACTTTTTTGTTTCCATGACAACTGTGCAAAAGTGGATCTCCCTCACATTGGAAAAGTATCTTTTAACTTACTGTTGAGTCTAAAGGACAGGAAGTGAAATCGTCCTAAGGAGAATGCAGTTTAGTTTTGGGCACCAGTTCACAAAAAGGATGTTATGGAACTGCAGATAATGCTGAGAAAGACAAGGTGATTAAGGGAGATATGATCACCTTGTATACAGACAAAAACTCTCCATATAGTGAACCTTTCGCAAATTGACAAGGGGGCATTCTTTGCATCTGGAGGACAAGAGGTTTATCGCTTGCATATGGAAAGGCCTTTTTACAGTAAGAGCTGTAAAAATGTGCAATTGGTGCCTCAGGAACTAGTACTAGCCAGCTCAGTTGATTAGAAAAACAGGATTCATTCCTAAACGAGCTGAATATACATGGATATTAACATTCATAAGTATTAACACCAGAGATTCTTGATCTTGTGAAAGGCTGATTGCCTTAGGAAATCGGGAAGGATTCTCCAAGCCCCCTACCCCCCTGCGTCTTAGCAAAAAGGGCCATGCTTTATAAGGGTTTGTTTTTGCCTTCTTCTGAATCAACTGTGGGTAGCTATGGATATATGGTCCTGTTTGTGGGGGTTTTCTATTTATTATTATTTTTCCCCTCTATTGGCTGAACTCAGTGGACTTGTCTTAACCTATATAACTATAAACTCTATCCACAATGAAAAAATTTTATGGCTTTAGCTATTCTTTAGGTCTTTGGCCATCTTTACCCATTTGTTGTGGGGTGTGTGCTTTATACAAACCTGAGCTATAAGTTGTATGGATAATAGGAGGTGTAGACCTGGCAGAAAGTGACACGCATAGGAGAAATGTTTTCATCACAGAGCAAAAGTGAAGCTATTGGCCATGACAATGATTTTTTTCTAGTGGATATGACATGACACGTGATAATTTCTATGCACACCAGTTAAATAGATAGGCCTGAGTGCTCTAAAAGGATCTATTTCACTCAAACCTTCCATTCTAACAGACATGAGGACCTTCTGGTTCATACTTCACCTGGGTTTTAACTCTCAATCTAGGTTATAATGAGCTGTATGGTACAGAACATTTTTTTCAGGGGTTAATATCAAAATAACATTTTTGAAGAAGAAAAAAACACAGAAAAAACTTGGCAATAACCATAAAGGCAAACCTTTTGCTGTGTTATTCTTGCAAGGTGTGTTTGTCAGGGATGCCAAATACATTTCATAATATAATTTTTATAATGTCATTCTTTTATTAGCTGCCTTTAAAATTGTGAAAGGCTGGCTTGGTCCAGAAGCCGTGAACATGCTGAAATTTGTGAACCGGAATGAAGTTCATGACTACATTAGTGCTGAATACTTACCTCCACACATGGGGGGAACAGTAAGTGTTAATATTATTAAATAACTTCAGAATGTCAGAATTTAAATTGTAACTTCAGAAAAAACTATGCTGGTTTCACGCAGAGTGGGAAATGGCTAGACATTTTTATCATTACGGTCTGTGTCCAGTTGTCAATGGGACAAGTGGGGGGAAATCCATTGAAGGTTGTCACTGTAACAACTCGGAGAAGGTGCATTGAGCTGTGTTGACCTGCACTGATGAACCCCATCTCAAGGCAGGTACACAGAGAAAACTATTGTTTTCTATGTGCCCTGTTCACACCATGCAAGTGTGTTGGTGGGTGTTGTATAAACATGCAGCGCACATGCATTTTTCTGCAACACAGGACACAAAAATATGTTACAAAGCACTTCAGCACGTTGCAGCATGCAGTTGTGCATAGAGTTAAGTGAAGTCCTTTCTTTTTTTTACTTTAAAGGAGAACTGTGGGGTAAGTGTTTTTCCCCATAGTTCTCCTAAGGGTAACGGGACGACACATACTAGCGTCCTCCCGTGACCCAAAGCTCAGTATACCGCGAGCTAGAGCTTGCGGTATACTGTGACCGCCGCAGCCAGGACTGATCCCGACATTACTGTTGAGATCCACCCAGCTATGTGATTGACAGCTGGCTCTGCCTATCTAGAGGCAGAGCCAGCTGTACCCGCACCCCTCCCCCGTTTGTTCCTCCAGTCAGCGCTGGAGGATCGGAGTGGGGAGGGGGGGGGAATCCCTGCAGGGACCTGAGAGTAACAGTCACGGCTCTGCAGGGACCGGATCGATAAGTGAGCAAGCGACGTTATGTGTTCGCTCACTTCCCGATCTACTGAGCCGATGTGTAACCGTTTCATTGTCACACGTCAGCTCGAACTATGAGGTTGAGTGAAAATCACTTACCTCATAGCTCTCCTTTAAAGTTATACATTGCACACACCATGATGGGTGCCCACTAGTATGAAGGGGCCCTAGTAGGAGATCAAAAGAAATCAGCTTAACGATGAGGTTTCCCCTAACTATGGGCAGATTTTACTTTCACATCCTGTCACGTCAAACAGACAAACATTATAGGAAAATACCAATGGGAACAAAGACAGCAGTAAAATTCTACATTCTAACCCTTCCCTTGTCAGTTTAGAACAACAACAAAAAAAAGCTTACTTTTAAAGTAAAGACAATCTTGGGCAATTCAAATCAATTGTACTTTGGGAAATGCGTATGTTACATTCAGTGAAAAAGCACATATCATGATGATCAGTAGATCCAGAGGTTCCAATTAGTGAAATGAAATGCAAATTTTGACTCCCTTGCTCTTTCTGTGTCCTCCCTGGCCAACAGGTAGGCTTGGGAATTGGGGGCACAAGACCTAGGACAAATTTTACATGAAGATTGTATATAACTTCAGCTGCCTATATCTCTGAATTTGTCATGCGGTTTCCACTGTAGGTAGCATCCGTTTATGGATTTTGATTGGCCCAGGTTTGATATATTTTTGTTGTATGAAGTGAGTAAAATGTTTGACAAATTCTTTATTTGCATTGCATGGATTTAAAGAAGTGAGTGTTCCTGAATGACAGGATTTATCAGCTTCCCATAATAACTTTTATGAATGTGTTTGTTCGTGCTGTGCACGCTATATGAACTTACACAGCTGCTAAATGGCCTTGTTAAAGTGGAACGAATGTATATTTTTAGGTAATATTATAACCCTTGCCAAAAAGTAATTGTTGACAAGCAAACACTTTCTTTTCACGCAGTTCCATATTTTTGATTTTCGTTTGCACATTTTCCAAATGTTCCCTCTTTTAATGTCAGCCAGCCTTACAAAGGAAAGGTTTTCAGACAGTTCAGACTAATAGACACAAAGAAAGAGACACGCAATGATGCTCAGTCACTGTGTGTTACTACTAAGAAGGAAGAAGAGCCTACACGTGTAATGATCCCATGTAGATGTACTGCATATGTACAATTCATTTTAAGTTATACTCACAATATAGGATTTTAATAACCTTAAAGCCCAACTATATGCACATATCAGTGTATTGTTTACTTCTTTATATGACCCTCACTGTGGAGAAATACTCAAGAGATAATGGGAACAGTTGTTTCAGGGATTGAAAGGCACGGTCATCAATGAAAACGAACCCTTCCCTGATCCATTAAAATTCTCTGTCTGCGACCCTGTTGACGACATTTCCCATCTGTTAAATAGAAAGTGGAGTACATTTCCCCAAAAGGGCCACAGACTGCAAATACACAAAACCTTCCTGGCTAAACTTCAAACCAAAAAATACGTTTTGGATGGAGTTGTGATTATCATAATTAATTATTTACATTGTTGATTACATTCAAAGCCTAATCAAAATCTAAGAACAATGTAGTTTAACTTTAAGGGCTTGTCCACACCATCTCCAGACCAGATCTGGATGCATTTGTCATGCGCATGTCTGCTTTTCTTTTTGTCTATTGGTTATTTTTGTCTATTGGTTTTGCTTGGGTTTTAGGTGCGTTCTGGTGTGTTTACATTAGTTTATGCATTCCAGACCAGAAAATAATGCAGCATGCTGTACTTTTTTCAAAGCTCCGGAACTGAACACAGTGAAGACTAGCCTCATTTTTACTTTATGTGGAATTACTGTGTATGCGTTTTTGGTCCAGAAATAAATGTTCTGGTGTGGAGATGGTGTGAGCAAGCCCTTACTGCTCCTGGACTGCTGATATACATAGGGGCCCAGTTATAAAGCAGCTGTAAGTCCTTGGTAAATCAGGTACTGCCTGATGGCTACTTTTGTGGAGATCAAACAAAGACCATTTCAATCCAAGCTAAGGCGTGATTTAAAAAAGCAGCAGTATGGACTAGCTTCTGTCAAATTGCTGAATTTGAAAACATTCTCCAGCATATTTATAAAGCAAATCCATTTACAGCTTTGCTTACTTTGGGACTTAAAACAAGTGAAACCCCATTTTATTTTAATGAATGGAGGAATAAAGTTTCGGGAGGAGGAAACCTGCCACATGACTAACAGGTCATGTGACAGGGCACTCATCCTATCCTAGAGCGCTCTCTGCAGCGTTCTATCACTCCCAACACTTTACGAATGAAACATGACATGAAGGGGTAGTGTAGAGTAGAGCTGTGATGTTGTGCTGGCACTTCAGACCCAATATATAACTGCCTTATAAAATCTGTGACTGGGTCTGTTTTTCTTTTACTCGGTTAAACTTGCATTTTTAAAAGGTCAACTGTATAATTTAATTTTGCTTTCCATTTTTAGGATCCATTTAAATATAGCTATCCCCCATTACCCGATGATGATTTCCAAACCCCAATGTGTGAAAATGGGCCAATTACCAGTGAGGATGAGCTTGAAAGTAAAGAGGAAAGTGAGGCGGACCCAAGGGATGCCGTCGATTCATGTACATCTGAGGAGAGTGCTCTCAAGCCCAGAAAGGTAATTGGGATTTATCGATTGGTCCTGGTAGTCTAAGAAGTAGAATTGGTTTCATAAGGGAAATCTGGGGTGTGCTATTGTGGAGTTCAAGGGTGTGGGAAGCTTTCCTTCTGGGCTGAAAGGTGTAGAAAGACATTTGGGCTGTAATGTCTATGATGGTAAGGCAGATTTGACTTAGTTTTGTATGATTTGGACATCTTGGTTATGAGATTGTACTGAATTATCAGGTTCATCTGTCAGCTATGACCGCATGAAGTTGGGTCCTTGGGTTGCTGATTAATTTCACATTATAGAGGATGCAGCAGGAATACTCAGACTCCATGACAGGGAAATCATACCCCAAGCTGTCCCTGAGAGGTGCAAGCCTGTGGATGTTATAAAAACAGATTATAGTCTTATCAATGTTATTTAGATTCACACTTGTACAAGATCTACTTGATGCAAATAATCTAAAAAGTATATGGTAATGTTTAAAAAAAAATGGTTGCTGATTAAAATGTGTAATTACATATGGACAGGGGGCAGCCATGTTTCTTCATTACATTTGCAGGCTCTTCTTATGCACGGTGTACCTACCAATGGTTGTTATTTACTGCTCCATCTCACAATGCAAGTCTAGGATTCAACCAACTCATTGAAAGCAATGCACCGCCTGTGTAGCTGATAATTTATCCCAACAGGTTTTAAGCAGGTATGAACTTCTCACAAATGTGCTGCAGTAATGCGTCCTGTACCAAGTTCTTTACTGCAGCATGCTGTAATGTGTTGTGTAAGCGCATTGTCACTCGATTTGCATGCAAATGTACAACACACCTACAATACAGCACACCACAACACGTGTGTTCTGCATGAAAAAAATAGCGCAGGAACATTTCTGTGTTGGGGCTCATTCAAAATGAATTAGCTGAGTTAACAGAGTGCATTGTGGCGCAGACATTATTGTAGTGTGGTACAGTGTGAATGGGCCTTTAGACAAAGTCCATTATAGTCTGTGTATATACCCAACCTCTCGTGGCTAATCTACAAATATATGTAGACGTGTGGAAGCCACATAAAAATTACTTTGACAAGTAAGTAATAACTAGAAATGCAGACAGCTGGCTGAAGTGTGAATGGGCCTTTAGACAAAGTCCATTATAGTCTGTGTATATACCCAACCTCTCGTGGCTAATCTACAAATATATGTAGACGTGTGGAAGCCACATAAAAATTACTTTGACAAGTAAGTAATAACTAGAAATGCAGACAGCCGCCTGCTTTTGTAAAGCAGATAGTTTAATCTGCCGATATGTTATGCATTGCATGGATTTAAAGAAGTGAGTGTTCCTGAATGACAGGATTTATCAGCTTCCCATAATAACTTTTATGAATGTGTTTGTTCGTGCTGTGCACGCTATATGAACTTACACAGCTGCTAAATGGCCTTGTTAAAGTGGAACGAATGTATATTTTTAGGTAATATTATAACCCTTGCCAAAAAGTAATTGTTGACAAGCAAACACTTTCTTTTCACGCAGTTCCATATTTTTGATTTTCGTTTGCACATTTTCCAAATGTTCCCTCTTTTAATGTCAGCCAGCCTTACAAAGGAAAGGTTTTCAGACAGTTCAGACTAATAGACACAAAGAAAGAGACACGCAATGATGCTCAGTCACTGTGTGTTACTACTAAGAAGGAAGAAGAGCCTACACGTGTAATGATCCCATGTAGATGTACTGCATATGTACAATTCATTTTAAGTTATACTCACAATATAGGATTTTAATAACCTTAAAGCCCAACTATATGCACATATCAGTGTATTGTTTACTTCTTTATATGACCCTCACTGTGGAGAAATACTCAAGAGATAATGGGAACAGTTGTTTCAGGGATTGAAAGGCACGGTCATCAATGAAAACGAACCCTTCCCTGATCCATTAAAATTCTCTGTCTGCGACCCTGTTGACGACATTTCCCATCTGTTAAATAGAAAGTGGAGTACATTTCCCCAAAAGGGCCACAGACTGCAAATACACAAAACCTTCCTGGCTAAACTTCAAACCAAAAAATACGTTTTGGATGGAGTTGTGATTATCATAATTAATTATTTACATTGTTGATTACATTCAAAGCCTAATCAAAATCTAAGAACAATGTAGTTTAACTTTAAGGGCTTGTCCACACCATCTCCAGACCAGATCTGGATGCATTTGTCATGCGCATGTCTGCTTTTCTTTTTGTCTATTGGTTATTTTTGTCTATTGGTTTTGCTTGGGTTTTAGGTGCGTTCTGGTGTGTTTACATTAGTTTATGCATTCCAGACCAGAAAATAATGCAGCATGCTGTACTTTTTTCAAAGCTCCGGAACTGAACACAGTGAAGACTAGCCTCATTTTTACTTTATGTGGAATTACTGTGTATGCGTTTTTGGTCCAGAAATAAATGTTCTGGTGTGGAGATGGTGTGAGCAAGCCCTTACTGCTCCTGGACTGCTGATATACATAGGGGCCCAGTTATAAAGCAGCTGTAAGTCCTTGGTAAATCAGGTACTGCCTGATGGCTACTTTTGTGGAGATCAAACAAAGACCATTTCAATCCAAGCTAAGGCGTGATTTAAAAAAGCAGCAGTATGGACTAGCTTCTGTCAAATTGCTGAATTTGAAAACATTCTCCAGCATATTTATAAAGCAAATCCATTTACAGCTTTGCTTACTTTGGGACTTAAAACAAGTGAAACCCCATTTTATTTTAATGAATGGAGGAATAAAGTTTCGGGAGGAGGAAACCTGCCACATGACTAACAGGTCATGTGACAGGGCACTCATCCTATCCTAGAGCGCTCTCTGCAGCGTTCTATCACTCCCAACACTTTACGAATGAAACATGACATGAAGGGGTAGTGTAGAGTAGAGCTGTGATGTTGTGCTGGCACTTCAGACCCAATATATAACTGCCTTATAAAATCTGTGACTGGGTCTGTTTTTCTTTTACTCGGTTAAACTTGCATTTTTAAAAGGTCAACTGTATAATTTAATTTTGCTTTCCATTTTTAGGATCCATTTAAATATAGCTATCCCCCATTACCCGATGATGATTTCCAAACCCCAATGTGTGAAAATGGGCCAATTACCAGTGAGGATGAGCTTGAAAGTAAAGAGGAAAGTGAGGCGGACCCAAGGGATGCCGTCGATTCATGTACATCTGAGGAGAGTGCTCTCAAGCCCAGAAAGGTAATTGGGATTTATCGATTGGTCCTGGTAGTCTAAGAAGTAGAATTGGTTTCATAAGGGAAATCTGGGGTGTGCTATTGTGGAGTTCAAGGGTGTGGGAAGCTTTCCTTCTGGGCTGAAAGGTGTAGAAAGACATTTGGGCTGTAATGTCTATGATGGTAAGGCAGATTTGACTTAGTTTTGTATGATTTGGACATCTTGGTTATGAGATTGTACTGAATTATCAGGTTCATCTGTCAGCTATGACCGCATGAAGTTGGGTCCTTGGGTTGCTGATTAATTTCACATTATAGAGGATGCAGCAGGAATACTCAGACTCCATGACAGGGAAATCATACCCCAAGCTGTCCCTGAGAGGTGCAAGCCTGTGGATGTTATAAAAACAGATTATAGTCTTATCAATGTTATTTAGATTCACACTTGTACAAGATCTACTTGATGCAAATAATCTAAAAAGTATATGGTAATGTTTAAAAAAAAATGGTTGCTGATTAAAATGTGTAATTACATATGGACAGGGGGCAGCCATGTTTCTTCATTACATTTGCAGGCTCTTCTTATGCACGGTGTACCTACCAATGGTTGTTATTTACTGCTCCATCTCACAATGCAAGTCTAGGATTCAACCAACTCATTGAAAGCAATGCACCGCCTGTGTAGCTGATAATTTATCCCAACAGGTTTTAAGCAGGTATGAACTTCTCACAAATGTGCTGCAGTAATGCGTCCTGTACCAAGTTCTTTACTGCAGCATGCTGTAATGTGTTGTGTAAGCGCATTGTCACTCGATTTGCATGCAAATGTACAACACACCTACAATACAGCACACCACAACACGTGTGTTCTGCATGAAAAAAATAGCGCAGGAACATTTCTGTGTTGGGGCTCATTCAAAATGAATTAGCTGAGTTAACAGAGTGCATTGTGGCGCAGACATTATTGTAGTGTGGTACAGTGTGAATGGGCCTTTAGACAAAGTCCATTATAGTCTGTGTATATACCCAACCTCTCGTGGCTAATCTACAAATATATGTAGACGTGTGGAAGCCACATAAAAATTACTTTGACAAGTAAGTAATAACTAGAAATGCAGACAGCAACGGTCTTTTTAAATGGACTTCCTTTTGGTTTTTTTCTTTTCCTCTTTCCCCCCCCCCCCCCCCCCCCCAAATCAACAATGCTAATGAAGATTTTAAATAAAACCTTTCCATTTTCATTATCTTACATTAGACCCAGTGACATCATCAATGGGTCTCTAGGCTTTTCTATGTAGTGCTGTCATATCATCATGACTGGTAGAAGGATCTGGCAAGGTGCTGTGCACTCCTGAAAACATCACAGCACCCTACTCGGTACTCCTTACAAGAGCCCTCTCCATTCCTCCTCATTCTTCTAACAGTGGCCGTGTTTACTAAGCGCAGATTAATATATCTCCCTTTACCTCCTGGAACTCTTACACGTGAAAAAAAAGTGGGAAAACAATAATTGTAAGTAAAAAAAACATTGTTTAACTAATGAATGTAAGATGATTCCATATCGGCATGCAGATCTACAACTTAGGGGGGGTCATATACTTCTTGGATTCTCCATCATTGGAAGCTATTTTTTATATCAGCATTGCTCCAGTTGAGGCTAAGAAGTTTGTGTGCTTCTTAAGAATGTTTAATACTTTAAAAGCTGCTTAGACAGAAACGTATGTTTAGAAAATGTTTTGAAGCTTTGAAAACCCAGAACAATCCAGTCAATTAATTAGAACATGTATTTAAATATTCATATGTAGGCATCAGA